AGTGTTCAAGCGAGAGGTGGTTTCGAGTACTTCGTTACGTTTATCGATGATTACTCCAGATATGGGTACATTATCCTTCTACACCCACCGCAAGTCTGAATGCTTTGAGAAGTTCTTAGAGTATAAGGCAGTTGTGCACAAGCAGTTAGGAAAAAGTATCAAGTCACTATGATAAGATCGTGGTGGCGAATATCTGTCAAATGAATTTATGAACTACTTGACGGATAATGGGATTACATCCCAGCTGTCTGCGCCTGGCACGCCTCAGTAGAATGGCGTAGCAGAATGAAGGAATAAGATTCTTATGGAAATTGTTAGGGCAATGATGAGTTATAGTACTTTACCAGATTCGTTTTGGGGATATGCCCTAGAAACAACAGTATATATTCTGAATAGAGTACCTTCTAATTCAGTACTGTCTAGACCATTGGAGTTGTGGTCTGGGCATAAGCCCAGTCTAAGGCATCTAAGGATTTGGGGTAGTCCAGCACACATGCTGAGAGCTGATACTAATAAGTTGGAACCGAGAACACAAGTAAGGTTGTTTGTGGGGTATTATAAGGAAACGAAAGGTGGTTTATTTTATAGTCCCGAGACCAAAAAGTAATCGTTAGCACGAATGCTAGGTTCTTGGAAGAATGCCTTAGATCATAAGCCCAGTAGTAGACATGTCCTCGAGGAGTTAAAGGGAATGAGTACTTCAATACCGAGTACACTTGATGTTACACCACAAAGTACTGCAATACGTTTCACTGATGATACACCTGAGCAGGTAGTACCTCGTCGTAGTGGGAGGGTTGTCTGGCAGCCCGAACGGTTAATGGGTCTGGGAGAGTCTTCAGAGACCGTCCCGGACGTTCATGAATCCGACCCATGGTCATACAATGAGGCACTCCAAGACCGGGACGCAGAGTCTTGGCAAAAAATGATGATATCTGAAATAGTGTCTATGGACTCTAATTAGGTCTGGGATCTTGTAGAGCCACCCAGTGGCGTCTGTGCCATTGGTTGCAAATGGGTCTATAAGAGAAACAGAGGAGCAGATGGGAAGGTTGAGACCTTCAAAGCTAGGCTTGTTGCGAAGGGGTACACTCAGAAAGAGGGGATCGATTATGAGTAAACCCTTTCGCCGGTAGCCATGCTAAAATCCATCAGGATTCTCTTAGTTGTAGCCGCTCATATGGATTATGCGATTTGGCAAATGGATGTTAAGACCGCTTTCCTTAAC